GATGCTTGGTGCTGCCATGCGAAGGCTAGCACACAAGCCAGCACACATGCTGTGCTGATGCTAGGCAGGCACCCATGCTAGCACTTGGTGCCAGCGATGGTGCTGCCATGCCAAGCACGCACGCACGCAGCGCCTAGTGCCTGCGATGGTGCTGCCATGCCAGGCACGCACGCACGCAGCACCTAGTGCCTGCAATGGTGCACCTGGTGCCTGCGACGGGCAGCAATGGTCCCTAGCCACATGCTAGGGTTGCGATAGCTGCGATGGGGTCCTAGGTGCGCCTGGTGCGCCTATTGCTTGCGATAGGCTGCTAGGCCGCGCCTAGGCTGCGATAGTGCCTAGCACACCATGGTGCGCCTAGCACACACATGGTGCACCTAGGCTTGCGATGAGCTAGCCTAGCCTAGCTACGGCTACGCTCATACTTGTTGCTTGTGATTTTGCGACGCTCGGTCTCGACGCCCTAGGCTCGATTTCCGACGTCTGTATTTGTAAAACTCTGCTGACTCATTAAATCCTTTCGGATAAATTCGTCGTCTCGGATCGGTGATTCGATTGGGTTCGACCCGAAGGGTTCAGTTAAGATTAAGCTGTAATATCAATTGCACCTCGATATTACTGATCGGAAGCGGCCTCCATCTAGGCATTCCGATCACTTGACCTTACTGAAGAATTAGCTCTGTAATAATTCTGAACCCTCTATCGGAAGAATACACTTGTTGGAAGGACACCATTCCGTTCACTTCTTCTTTTAGATAGTAAGCACCATTACTAACCTTCATATCGTCTGGACACTTGATTGCATCAAACAACTTATCGAACTCTCGGATCCAGTTTTCAAGGCTAGCTGGGTCCTCTTTTCCTAAGAAAAAGGGTGGTTTGGCTGCAGCTACTCCCTTAAAGACTTCACCAAAAGTGTCCCCATTTCCTAAACTTTTCCCTTGACTTGCTACTTAGGTAAAGTTTTCATCAAGGTGGGTTAGTTTCTTAAGGACCTTGCCTATATTAGAACTTGCTTTCTTATTCTTTTACTTTAAAGACATATTTTTCCTGATGTTCACATTTGAGAGAAAGAAAGAAAAATTAAAATTTATTCGTACACATAAACATAGAAGAAATCAAGAAAATACTTTATTATTATTACTAATTAATATTCGGAGTACATTTTATTGTGCATAACATTTATTGAAACAAATCATTTATTTGGACCCTCCTCTTCTACTGGATCGAACTCTTGATCTTCATTGTTAGCCACCTTGTTGCCATTGGGTTCCTTCAAATAGGTTGGTACATAATCACTATAGTTTGGGGTTTGGCCTGACTTTGGATTTGTGTTTCCTCGAGGGTTTGGGTTGTTGGGTTGTGGAGGAGATAAAAAGTTGGAACTAGAAGATGATGAGAAGTCATGAACTCTAGGCCTTTTTGGAATTCGGGCTTTTGTGCGAGGTTTTGGATGTTCACGTGGTATAGGTACATTATAATGTGAAAAGTGGGAAGGATGAGGATAGTTCTTACGCCTTCCAAGTGGTGGAATGGATTCATCATCCGAAGAGTCAAAGTCTCCCTCATACTTTGGGTAAGAGAAAGGAAGTTGAGCATTTAGATAGCGGAGTTGGTCAACCTCTCTCAATGTGTGGTGAGGGGTAAGTTTAGGTGGCTCGACGGACTTCCTCTTAGGTTCATAGTTACGCTCCAAGTAATGTAGGTCATTCTTTAAATGTGTCAAGGTAGCTAGCCATCTCCCTTCATGGTGATGTCTCTCATTCCAAAGCCCATCCTCCTTAATCACATCCCCACACTTCTCAAATAAAGGGTTGTACTTCTTAAGCTTGGGTAAGTGGGCTAATGCCAAAAGAACTAGCCAAGGGGGTTGGGTGAAGACTTCAAGATTATACTTCTCATAGTAGTGTAGAGCTAATACTGTTATTCCAGTCACAAAGTCGCCAACACTGATTGCATCAGTTTTCAAGTAGTGAATGTTAAAGTACTTCTTCCTAATATCATCCAACATCTGTTTAGAAAACAATAATTCAATAAGTATTCATATAAACATACCAATGTTCACAAACATATAAGTTTAACATATATGGGCCACATATATACCCAAAGATCATGTCCATGGACTTCTTCAAAAATCCATATTACACTTAACTTACATGCACACATAGTTTTTGAAAAAAATTTCAATTCATTTTCTTTTGAAATTAATAATGTACTTGACTTATGATATAGGATGGTCGATCCCGCGTCTCCCAGGTAAGTTACCCACAGCGTCGGGGAGAGCCTTGCCTAGACAGAGAGGCGTACCCATTATAGGCCTCGTTATGAGAACCCGAGCATCCTTTTCTCAATCATCTTTCCACAGAAAAAAATAGGTTTTTTTTTTTTTTTTTTTTTTTTTTTTTTTTTTTTGAATAAAAATGCGAAACTCTATCCTATGCCCAACTTAAGTCTACCCATCCAATTTATTTATTTCAACTTTTAATCTTGTTTTAAGACCCGACAAACTGATACCACTTTGTAGCACCTCCAAATCTCTCTCTATGTAGATTGTAGAAAATACGTATAAATATCGTAGAGATAGACTTGGGCGTATTACCGCCGCGTAATAACGCAAGGCTTATACAAAAATACTTTTGCAGCGGAAAACTTTATTCTTTATTAAATAAACCATAATAAAATTTGTTCATAATTCGTGACACAAAATGACTCAAACTCTTCCTAATTAGGTGAAATTCCCGTGGACTCCCGTATGCATCAATCAATTTCCACCTGAAATATTCACTTGCTTACCATAAATGGTAAACAGGGCAAAGCCAAAACAAAAGCACGTATTAGAAAAATATATGCTAAGTAAGTCATGTGTAAGATAAGTAAAACGTAATTTAAATCGTTTACGTTTAATTTATAAAAATACCAATGCCGTATTCAAATAAGAACCTTTCCAATCCAATTCTTTTAATACAAGTTAAAACTCAATCGATTCATTCCAAACCAATTCCTCACTAAGTGTGCACACCCCCCAAGTGGTTTACTTTATGAACAAAGGCCAATCTTGAGGAAAGACTAGGTCATGCAAAGTCCATAGTCTTCTCTAATCCATTCCCTAAGTGGGATTCATAACATATCGATTGATTTGCTTAAAAGCACCTTTTAAAATCCATTACACTTGAATCACAATAAACTTGTAAATAATTTCAATCACGATTCAAAGTCTCCTTTATTTTAAATCAAAATCATTAATTTCAATCCAACATAATTTTATAATTTCATACGGAACATAATATCACAATTTCATGCGGAACATAAAGTATAATTTCATACGGAACGTAATAAGATATGATTTGATACGAAACATAATAAATTATAATTTCATAGTAAATCATAGTTTCATACGGAACATAAAATATAATTTCATACGGAATGTAAATAAATATAATTTTATACGGAACATAATACTTATAATTTCATACGGAGTAAATTATAATTTCAAACGAACATAAAATGTAGTTTCATAGTCAACTTTCGAAGGTATCAAACCACATAACGTACCTTGATCAATCTTGAGCGATTCACAACTACTTCTCTAATTCACGAACACCCTACACATTATTATAACCTTAATTAATATAAGGCTATCAAATAAACACAACAACTTAATTAAACTACCCTATATGTGCATGAATTAATTATCATTATATAAAATAATTTTCTGTTTATAATTTAAATAATTAATTTGTGTAAGAAATAATATTTAGAAAATGATTAGTAATATAAAACAAGATTAAGAGAAAGGAGGGATTGAAGGATGGTGGTGGAACCAAGGCAAGGGATGAGCAAGAGTGGCCGACAGGGGTGGCGGCTGCTGGTGGTCGCTGGCAGCAGGTGGTCTCCGGTGGTGGTGGCTGCCGGTTGTGGCGGTGGCCGGAAAATGAAAAGGAGGAAGGGGAGAAAACCGTGAGAAAAAGGGAGGAAGAAGAAGAGAATTTCCTTGAGGTTTTTGGTGTGATTTTTTGGGTGTTTGAAAGGGGAAGTTAGGTGTTTAGGTGATGGGTTTATGGCATTTTAGGGTTTATAATTTATGGAAGCTTTTGAGAAATGGAAATTAAGATTTTAAACATATGGAAGGCTATAATATTTTATTTGATCATGGAATTTTACTTGGTAGGTTTTAAGCTTGGAGTGCAAGTACGACATAGAATCAAATAATTTTAGATTTAAGAATAGAATTAAGGAAATTTAAAGGATTTTATTTTTAATAAAATAATTTAAAAATATTTGTAGAAAAATCATGAATGGCCGAAAATATTGAGCAAAATATTACTCAATATTTTCGGACCTATTATGTTAGTTTAGGGATTTTGTAAAATAATTTATTTGTCTAAAATTAAAGATTCAATAAGTTTATAAATATTTGGAAGAATAAAAATCAATTTTCTTACTAAATAATTAGGGTAGCCGAAATTTTGGTCTATAATAATTTATAAAATCAGATTTTTATTATATAAAATCTAAAATACTATTTGATTAATTTAGGAAATCATTTTATTTCATAAAATAATTAACTTAGCAAATAATTGAGAAAAATCAGATTTTTAATGTATAAAATCCGAAAATAATACTTCATTAGTTTAGGAATTAATTTATTTCATGAAAATAATTAGTTTAGCAAGATATTAAATAAAATCAGATTTTTATTATGAAAAATCCGAAAATATCATTAATTAATTTATTTTAACCGAATATAATTTTGGTTTATCTATTTAATTTTTGAGAAATCAAAAATACTATTTATAACATTGGTATTATTTATTGGATTATCCATTTTAATTAGTTTTGTAAAATAATAAGACAAATGATTTAGGCGCCAGAATTCAAATAGCATTTTGGCTCCAAAACTAAAATACTCTTTAGGAAAATAATTAATTTAGAAAATACGTCAAAAATACGAGACTAAAATACTCTTTAATTTAGAAAATACCTTTCAAAAATACGGGGTATTACAGTGGAGAGGCCCACTGATTGGGCTGGGGTTGCTGCCATGTATATGGGCCAGCCCACTGCTGCGGAGGGCCTTGCGAATGCTGCCACTGTTGCTGAGGTTGGGAACCCGGGGTGGATTGATTTGCCTTGCCCCTTCCACGCCCTTTCCCACCTTTGTTGTTTGGTTTCCCACGGCCATGCCCAGCACCGCGAGCATCACCACGAGGCTGCTTCTGAGGTGGGGCTTGTGGTGAGGGTGCGTGATGTGATGTTCCAGAGGATGCCGAGGCGGACTGGGTAACCAACGCATGCTGGGATTGCTCGTCTTGCTTCGCCTTTCTCGTTTCTTCCAAAAGGAATTGAGACCGGGCCTTATTAAAGCTCGGTATGGGGTCTGCCTGCTGAATCATGACAGCAAGGGTGTCATACTCCCCCTTTGGCAACCCCTTGATAAGCTGCAAGACCATAGAACTATCAGTGACAGGCCGATCAACATTGGCTAATTGATCGGCTAAGAGCTTGATGTGTTTGCAATATTCAGCCATATTTACAAAATTCTCCAATTGAGTATTGGTGAATTGTTCCTCCAAGTATACGGCGCGGGTGTGTTTATTATCGTGGAATATCTCTTTCAACCGATTCCACAATTCAAGAGCAGATGCACCGGGCTTCATGATGGTGTTCACAAGATCCCTAGAGATCGTGCCATATATCCATTGCTTGACTATAGCATCAAGTCGGTTCCAGGTTGCAGAATCAATCCCAGAAGGACGAGGAACAGAGGCATCTATATGGTCCAGTACGGTAAAGGCACATGCGTGAATCTGAAATAATTCAACCCAAGTAGCATACTGACCTTCCTCTTGATCTGATGTGACTGGCAATAGGTTCTTGATGTTGGTGACAGCATAAGCAGGGTGAAAAGAGGAATTGGGAGGAGGGGTAGGTATGGCGTCGTTGTTAATGGAGGACTGCTCATCGTTGTGAGGCATGGGGAAGGAGGAAGGCTAAGGCGAAAAATAGAGAGAAAAAAATAGACTCGTGATACCATGTAAGTTTGTGTAAATCTCCTTGATTAGGTTATTCTCATTAAACAATATTTATAGGATTTACAACCTAACATATGAGTTAACCTAAATATACAAAAGGATAATCACAAAATATACTAGAGAATATTATCATATTCTCTATCATATAAAACATATTCCTAAGCCTTAACCATCAGCTTAAGGTTTTGGTTGAGATGGTCCTCTAACATGATATCAGAGCCAACGTGACACAAAAGTCACGGGTTTGAATCTCATCCACCCCCCACTTTCAAGTGGCATATTAAGCGCTGGGTATGAGGAGGGCCCATGCTGCATTCACACTTCTAACCCAATGGGCTCTCGTGTGAGGGGGCGTGATAGAGTATAAAACATATTCCTGGGCCTGAACCATCAGCTTAATCTTTTGGTTGAGATGGTTCTCTAACACTTGTGATAGGATGGAAGACCTTCCGTATCTTACCGAAAAAAAGGTAGCCCTAGATTTATAGTTTTTTTTTTTTAAAGCTAAGAATAAAATGGAACAATGTGCTACCTTTTCGCAAGAAATTAAATCATATATATAAAGACATAATGCACCGGTACCTCTAGAAAGAATTCGACTACTCTTTCAATTAAATTAACATTTTGCATTGAAATATATTTGGTTATTCAATACCCTTCATTTTATCTTTGACAAGGTCGAGGCCTTTCAAAATTGGCACCTACTATATAGTTATATTACTCATATGTGACTTTGTGGAATTGTAGGCATTAAGCTCATCATATAGTCATATATGCATGCCACAATTGCCACCTCTTGACTTCTTGTTATTAGACTAGTTAGACTCTTTAGTTGAAATTTTATTTCTGTAATAACTAATAAGTAAGAAAATTAAAAGGGGATTATTCTGATAGAGAGGACAAGGGAAATCTCTTGAATGAACCATACATGAAGAGAAATATCACCACTCTACCATCTCAACCTCGTCATGCATCTCCCTTTTGCCATGTGAGTTTGAAGCCTATTGCTGGTACCACCTGAACTCAACAGCATGCAGCTAGCAGTGAGACTTATGCACTTAGCCCTGCTTTGTATATAGAGATATCGAGCCTTACATTTTGTATGCGTGCTCTCAATATAATATACGATTTTTTTTTTTAGTGCACATGCTCTCAATATAATTATAAAAATAGTAACTCCGCATGTAATTATTTTTCCTCCTTTTCTATTCTCTCAATACAATATACTACCTCCGATTTTTTTTATGTTCAACTTTGAGGAATATTTGTGAGATATAAAATATTCTAAAGTTGCACATAAAAAAAACAGAGGAGGTTCCGCTGAAAACAAGGCTTACGGTGAAAACTAAAAACAGAAAATCTCAACCGTCCATTATTACAAACAAGATCTAACAATTTAAAAGCCAAATGATCTTTTCAACTTTCGCTTTTACATACTCAATGGTTTAGCAGTAACAACATAGAAAAATACACAACTTTATCAAATTTGACAAAATTGACGTAAAGGTAACTACGTACAAAAATAATGTAACTTTATCAATTTTGACAATATATACATAAAGGTCACTATATACAAAAATGAAGTAACTATATATATCAATTTTGATAACATTTACATTATTGAGGTTAGTATATACAAAAATAGGGTAATCATATCAATTTTGACCACATTTACATAAAGGTCACTATATACAAAAATAAGATAACTACAACAATTTTGACTACATTTATACAGATGTCACTATATATAAAAATAAGGTAATTATATCAATTTTGACAACATTTACGTACATAGAGGTCACTAGATATAAAAATAGGGTAATCATATTAATTTTGACAACATTTAAATATAGGTCGCTATATACAAAAATAGGGTAGCTATATCAATTTTGACAACATTTAAATAGAGGTCACTATATACAAAAATAGGGCAATTATATCAATTTTGACCACATTTACATAGAAATCACTATATACAAAAATAAGGTAACTATATCAATTTTGACCACATTTACATAGAGGTCACTATGTAAGTATGTATTAATAAAGGTCACTCTACTAAAAAAAAGGTTATTTGATTAATTTTGACTATATTTTATAAATATCACTACATGTAAACCTATGTAGGATTCGAACCCATATCATGTGTCCAATACAAGTACACATTGCTCAACCAATTGATCTAATAGGTTACCAATACGCAAGAAAAATTATAACCAATCAAGTTTGGAGTTTCGATTTTTTGTCAAATGTTCTTTTGCATCACAAGGCTGCTGCCCCCTCCTTTAATTGCCACTGCCCCGAAGCAGCCTAAACCTTCACCCCACCATTAGCTAACCTAAGTAGAGGTCACTATATACATAGAGTAACTATATTACTTTGACAATATACATTTCACTATATAAAAATATAAACTATATCAATTTTGACAACCTTTACATGATTTTGCTAGTATATAAGGACTAATAGTTATACATGTTGCTTGGCCTTATAGTAGGATTCCAGCCTATTCATGTATGAATCAATTAGGTAAGACATTAAAGAGATCAGAGGTCACTAAATATAAAAATAAAGGGTATTAAAAAAAACTATGTAAGATTTGAACCTACATTTTGTGATTACACGGTGCTCGACCAATTTAGCTAATAGCCTTTCAACATGTTAAAAATGTGGAGGCTTAAAACCGAAATATTTGCCTTATCAGATAGGACATGCCGACATGGCCGGTACTTTATAGATTACATCATGATGGCATCAAGCCATCAACCATATGCTCACTTAGACAATACATTAGAAAAGGCCCCGCTGAAGTACTAACTTATATGCATATCACTATTTTCATCTTTTATTATTATTATTAGTGCTTTCATGTGAATGATATGACGACCAAGCAACATGACATACGATTTGGTTGACCTCTAATCCAGCCTAGCTCAAAATATTATTCACAGAGTCTCTAAACAAACATATCACCACAGTTTGGGTCTAAACAAACATATTTTAATTTAATGAAATCATTATTCCATGCTCCTTGAAAGTTTTCATACATATATTTTCCATCATTAGGTAATTCAACTAATAATTAACTTGAATATTATTCTAATATCACATGTAACTTACATACATAGGCTAATAAAAAGAAGATTATTACCCCATAAACCAAGTTGAAATGTCAAGTTCGTTTATGCTGAAACTTAAGATGATGACTGATACATATGGTGAGGAAGTCGAGGGTCGGTACAAGCAGGAATCTTCTTAGGTTCTGAAGCACCATAAATCTCTTCCATAGCCAAATATTGAGCCTTCATATCCTCAGGCAATTTCCATGCAAAACCATGAAGAAGATTAGCCAAACTTGATTCAATAACTTTAAGGCCAAGGTTATATCCCGGGCACATCCTTCTTCCCGACCCGAAAGGTAACAACTCGAAATCATGACCTTTGACATCAATATCGTTTCCTAAGAATCTATCGGGCCAAAACTCGTTGGGCCTTTCATAAAGCTTAGGGTCTCTTTGTATGGAGAAAGTGTTTACAAACACAATGGTATCTTTAGGGATATCATAGCCTCTAATAATAACTTGTTCCCTAGCTAAGCGAGGAACGAGCAAAGGTGCCACTGGATGCAATCTCATTGTTTCTTTTACTATTGCTCGAATGTAAGGTAAGGTTTGTAGGTCTTTCTCTTGAACCCATCTTTTCTTTCCTATCACGCGATCCAATTCTTCGGTTGCCTTTTCAACGATGTCTGGTCTTCTTATAAGTTCAGCAATTGCCCATTCCACTGTTATTGTTGAACTTTCTGCACCTCCCGCGATTAAGTCCTGTATGTAATTCATTATTGTGTAAAATCTCATGTTAGTTTACAATATTTAACATCTCAAAGGAACTCTATGAGTAAAGAGAAAAAAAGAAAAAGAGAATATATATTACTTAATAAAACTATAATTAGATTAATATACCTGGCAAAATGCCTTGACTCCAACTCTTCCAAGCTTAACTTCATTATTAGGATCATCTGCAAGTTGTAACAATACATCCACCATATCTTTAGGCTCCCAATTCTCCTTTTCTTTTTCCCTTCTAGCATTATGTTCATCCAACACATGCTCCATAAACCTATCAAGTTTCTTCGCCGAAATCTTCATTCTTTTCACATAACCATATACATCAATGTACTTAAACAAGGGGATCCAATCCCCAATATTAAACACCCCATTTAGCAAGAACAATTCATCAAGCATCATTTTAAATTCTTTAAGTGTTACCATTGATGTCTCTTCATTACTTTTTTCCAAGTATTTTTTCCCCAACACCATCCTACTAATCACATGTAGGTTCATAGCAAAGAGGTGATCTTTTAACACTATGGGCTCACCCTTAGTGTTATATATGCCTCTTAACATGGCTTTAAGCTCTTCTACACGTATGTACTCGTATGAATCTAGCCTCTTGATGCTAAAAAGCTCCATCGAGCACATTTTTCGTGCTTGGCGCCAGTATGGATCATATTGAGACCATGTTATATCGGAGTAGTTATAGGCTGTGTACTTTCCTGCAGCATTTTGAGGCCTTCCGGCAAAGGCTTCATCATGTATTCTAAGGAAAGTTTTTGCCATTTCAACTGATGACCCTACTAACACCGAGGCTGACCCAAATTGGAGCATCATAATATCCCCATATTTCTTAGAGAGCTCATGGAGGGAGCAATGGGGAAGGGACCCTATAAGATTGAAATTCCCGATAACGGGCCATGGTTTCGGGCCTGGTGGTAGCTTAAGTTTTTGACGGGTAATGTGGTTAGTAAGGAGTACTATGGCTAGAACTACTAGCCATGCAACTGCGTAGGCTGCCCAAGTTGGTGCCTCTAAACCCTCCATCAGTGAATGGTTTGTGGAGGTAAAGTGTAATTTTCTGTTAATTGTTTTGTGGTTTTATGTTAAGTAGATGTTGATATGTATGAGGGTATTTATAATATATATATGGAGATAAAAAATATATGATGCATGAAATAAAAACTTTTCTGATCGTCTTTGTTGGACTAAAAAAGAACGCATAAGAAGAAATTAGAATATCATGCATGAACTATATACTTTTCCAATTGTATTTGTTGGACTAATAATAATAAACACAAAAGTCATAAAAAAACTACAATAATGCATGAAATAAAATTTTTTATGATCGACTTTGTTGAACCAATTAGATGTTATATATTGAAAAGGATCTTAACCTTTTGTAGTTCTATGATGATCTCATGGAGAAACATTTTTGCTGGGTAAATTGGAAATTGTTTAGTCAATTTTGATTGCTACCCATTCATCTAATGTAAAAGATATGTGGTACTAGTACTAGTAAGATTATTGTTAGAAATATATTTTGAGTTGTAATAACGGTGTAAGACCCATTTTTTATGTGATGTTATTGGATTTGATAGATAGAACCTTATTGGAAGACAATTCAAATGAATATGGAATTCTAATTAAGGCTTAGAGACAATTAATGTAGATAATATTAAATTTGATAGGTTATTATTATAATTTTAATTAAGACATCGGATAAAATCTCAATTCTCTTATCATATCAGAAAAAAATTATTAATTATGTTGCAGGCCAGCTACTTGGTAGCTCTACTTATTTTACATACAAGTATATCAACTTTCAACTTATATCTTATTTTGGATCCTATTGCCATTATATTTCAGCCGTTGCCAACAATTTTTACTCAAAATTACTAAGCTACTGTGGTTTGACTGAAATTGTTAAAAATGTCTTACAATTCAAGTTGATTGACTTAGACCACATCCATATTTGTACCACATGCAAAATCTACATTTAAATATTGTTTCCAAAAAAATAAATAAAAAAACCTACATTTAAATATGTTGAGCAAGTTTGAGTTAAATATTGTTATAGTTGACCTTGCTTTCCACACAAATACAATGAATTGAAGAACTATAGCTAATTGATCTCAAAATGTGTAGGGGGTGACGGGGCCACGGCGGGGGTACGGTGTCGTCAAGCATGCTTATATTATAAACATGTATGTGAATCAATTTCACTTATATCCAAAATTTCAAAAAGAACTGTTGATTGAAATGCATAATTAAAAGAGAGGTGCACAAATATAAAGTTGTGAAAAGACAAATAAAGACAAGTTATTTTGAATCACAATACATGTTGAAATTCACATCAAATCAAAATAAACAAGTTCGTGACTGATTCAGTACTAATTTTTATTTCATAGCAGACTTAAACCGACCTTCCAGCCAAATGAGCTTGTTTCAATTCAACCTAAAACAAAATCTTAACCCGAATTAGCAACACTGCTTACTTCATTGAACCCTCAACTCGTTTTTGAATAATAATAATAATACAATATTTATAGCTCATGGCCAATATGGTTGATATATAAGATTATATAGCATTCATGTTTTACTTATTATTTCATTTAAATTTCTTTTTGTAGTCAATATTTGTAACTAATTTAATATGGTATCACACATTATTAGACTATTGGGATCTCAACTCAAAGTAATCAAAGGGAGTGTATTTTTATTAATTAAATCTATTATCATCAAAAGTACAACTTACACAATTAAAATAAGAACACAAAAAGTCCTTGGACTACATTCCCAAAACCCAACTTGTAAAATTAAGTTTAGACATGTAAAGTTCACATTAATTTAAAAAGATTACATATGGTAAATAATTAAATATGATAAGAAAGTCGAGGCTCAGCACAAGCACTCAGAGGAATTTTCTTAGGATTTGAACTACCATGAACCTCTTCCATATCTAAATCTTGAGCCTTCAAGATTGTTACCATCAAGCATAATGGCTAATGAGCAGAGCTCCTTAGTTTGTTCGAAATCACGGACTCTTAGGGCGCAAGTTGCAAGGTTTAACTAGAGGGATATGGCAAGGGTCCATAGGAAGACACACTCATCTTTATTTCTCGGCAAACAAAAGCATAGAAGTTTCAGCCCTCTGTCATACTTAGTCCCAGCGGGAACGACTTCACGTTTTTTGAAGTAAGAATTACCCTCCTCTTTCAAGTCTTTTGCTTGATTAAGAATGTTTAGAGGGCAATTATTTTTGGAAAAAATGACAATGGTTTCATCAAAATCATCATTTAAGTGGATGTGCGTCAGGGTATCAAGTAATAAGCGTGTAACACCCCCAAATCTCTCTCTACGTAAATTGTAGAAAAATACGTATAAATACCGTAGAGATAGGTTTGGGCGTATTACCGCCGCGTATAACGCAAGGCTTATACAAAAATACTTTTGCAGCGGAAAACTTTATTCTTTATTAAATAACCATAATAAAAAAATTCGTTCATAATTCGTGACACAAAAATGACTCAAACTTTTCCTAGCTAGGTGAAATTTCCCGTGGACTCCCGTATGCATCAATCAATTTCCACCTGAAAAATTCACCTGTTTACCATAAATGATAAACAGGGCAAAGCCAAAACAAAAGCACGTATTAGCAAGTATGCTAAGTAAGTCATGTGTAAGATAAGTAAAGCGTAATTTAAAACATTTACGTTTAATTAATAAAAGAAATACCAATGCCGTATTCAAATAGAACTTTTTCAATCCAATTCTTTTAATTCAAGTAAAACTCAATCGATTCATACCAAACCAATTCCTCACTAAGTGTGCACACCCCCCAAGTGGTTTACTTTATAATCAAAGGCCAAACTTGAGGAAAGACTAGGTCATGTAAAGTCCATAGTCTTCTCTAAACCATTCCCTAAGTGGGATTCAACATATCGATTGATTTGTTTAAAAACTCGTCTTTAAAAATCCATCACACTTACATAACAACAAACTTGCAAATCATTTCCAATAATTTTCCAATCACAATTTAAGGTCCTTTTGATTTAAATCCAAATCATTTAATTCAATCTGTCATGATTTCATAATTTAGTACGGAACATAATATCATAAATTCATACGAAGCATAAAACATGATTTCATACGGAACGTAATAAAATATGATTTGGTACGGAACATAATAATTTATAGACTCATAGTAAATCATAGTTTTATACGGAACTTAAATTATAGTTTCACAATTAAAATTTTATACGGAATAAATTATAATTTCATACGATAAAAAAATATGTAGTTCCATAATCAACTTTCGAAGGTATCAAACCACATAACGTACCTTGATCAAACACGAGCGATTCACAACTACTTCTCTAAATCACGAACACCCTACACATAATTATAACCTTAATTAATATAAGGTTATCAAATAAACACAACAATTTAACTAAAATACCCTATATGTGCATGAATTAATTATCTTTATATAAAATAATTTTCTGTTTATAATTTAAAGAATTTTCTGTTTTTATAAAATTAATTTGTATGAGAAATAGTATTTAGAAAATGGTTAATAAGTTTAAGAGAAAAGGAGGGATTGAAGGAAGGTGGAGGAACCAATGCAAGGGAGGAGCAAGGGTGGCTGTGGCCAGCTGGAGTGGCGGCTGCTGGTGGCTGCTGGCGGCAGCAGGTGGTCGCCGGCGAGGGTGGTCGTCGGTGGCCGGAAAAATGGAAGGAGGGAGAGGAGGAAAACCGTGAGGAAGAGGGGAAAGAAGAAGAGAATTCTTGAGGTTTTTGGTGTGATTTTTGGGGTGTATGAAAGGGGTATTTTAGGGTTTATAAATTATGGAAGTTTTTGATCATGAAATTCCATTTGGTAGTTTTTAAGCTTGGGGTGCAAGGATGACATAGAATAAAATATTTTTTAGGTTTAAGAATGGAAGTAAAGGAATTTAAAGATTTTATTTTTAATAAAATAATTTAAAATCTTTGTAGAAAAACCATGGATGGCCGAAAATATTGAGCAAACTATTACTCAATATTTTCGGACCTATCATGTTAGTTTAGGGATTTTATAAAATAATTTATTTGTCAAAAACTAAAGATTTAATAAGAATAAAATCAATTTTTCTTGCTAGATTATTAGGGTGGCCGAATTTGGACAATACTAAGGTATAAAATCAGATTTTTAATTATATAAAGTTTAAAATATTATTTGATAAATTTTGGAAATCATTTTATTTCATAAAAATAATTAATTTAGCAAATAAAAATCAGATTTTTAATGTATAAAAAATCCGAAAATATGCTTCATTAGTTTAGGAATTAATTTTATTTTATGAAAATACTTTTATTTAGAGAAAAATCAGATTTTTAATTGTAAGAATTCGAAAATGATATTAATTTAGTTTTAGGAAATTAATTTCATTTCATGAAAATAATTAGTTTAGCAAGATATTAAGTAAAATTGGATTTTATTGGGAAAATCCGAAATTATATTTAAAAAACAGATTTTTAAATTCTAAAATGCCTCTAATTTTATTAATTAATATAGTTTTGTTTTATTATTTATTTAATCAAAATACTATTTATAAAATTTTTAGTTTATCCATTTAATTAAAATAAATGATTTAGGCGCCAAAATTCAAATATCATTTTGGCTCCAAAACTGAAATACTCTTAAGTTAGAAAATACGGGACTAAATACTCTTTAATTTAGAAAATGCCTTTCAAAAATATGGCGTATTACAAAGCGACACTCCATACTAGAATAATTGAAAAGGGAAATGAAAATGACGAAAGCTTAATGAAAGAAACTGGAAACAAGGTAGATTTAGAAGACTGGATGTTAGGTTTTCAGTAATTTCAATCGAAAAATACTTAATAAAATGTGTGGGACAAAACCTAGAATAATATAATTACAATAACAATAACAGTGTTACAATAAAACCTAGAATAATATAATTACAATAATATAATGTAATTAAACTAACACAACAACAGTGTTACAATCAAGTATTATAAACTATGAAATTACAGAAATTTCTATGAAAACACTAATGTGAAAACTAATAAACTTGCCTCAACTCCA